CAATTGGGGACTGGGGTTGGTCGGATAATTGAAAAGTCGGATAACCGAAAAGTATGAAAAAATCCATTATTAGTGTAGTATATTATTATATCCCATGTAATTAGTATATTAGTATATTGCTATTAACCTACTTTGCGTTGAATTTTCATCGATGTTAAGCCTAACAAACATTTTTTAAAATAATAATCGTCGCTATTGTATCATTAAAAATTAGAAAATTAACCCTCGTTTAAATACCGGCTCCCTTTCATGGTCGAATGAGTGTTGCCAGCTAAAACACGTAAAATTAATATTAAAGTAGCCAAGACATAGCCAAATATTGTAGCACCACATCACTAGCGGACATTTGAAATTTGCTGACCAGGACGGTCGGTTAACCAAGGTGTCGGTTAATCGGGGTCGAATAATCGAGGCTCTACTATAATTATTTTTACATTTACACAATGAGACATTATTGATCATTATCCCAATATTGAAACCAGAATCATGGTTTCCAAAAAAAAAAAAATTCAGCCAAAACTGATACCAAAAATTTAAGCTGCCCCATCCCTATTAATTGGTCAGTCAGACCATGAGATGTGTGATTGAAATGTGAACACATGAGAAAAATTTTCCAAATTGTATTCTGAAGAATCAATGTGTTAATTTTTATAGAAAGTTAAAATATTTATGGGCATTACTAGATTTAGTGTACAATTAAGAATATTTTGCATATTTTCCATTCTCTCAGATCACCAATAGTGTAAATCTGAGACCACGTACGGTGCATTGCAAAAGTTTAGGTCCACTCCATTCAGTTATTAAGCAAACAACAAAAACACACATTTATTTGTGTAGGTAGCAGAAACATGTAAAAATAGTACATCATCATTAAACTAGCATATTATTAGACAACTGTAAATGTATAAACACACAAAGTGAGATAATCCATGTGTTGCAAAAGTTTAGTTCACCATGTAAAATTACACAATATCATTCCAGAAATTCCCATTTTGCATCCCAATGTCGAAAACACAGTGAGGCATGCTGTCTACAAGTTGCTGGAGCACATCTTGACTTAACTCATCCCATACAGAGATAATAGCTGTCTGCAGTTCTGCAACAGTTGAAAACTGACATTCTTTGGCGTACACCTTCCTAGCAAGGATTTCCTATGGGTTTATAAAGTCGGGAATTAGCAGTCCACTCCATTACATGCACACCATTGTTTGAAGAGAGAAATTTGCATAAGATTCATTCTCAAGTTAATTGACTGTTATATTTTTTTGAGAATGAATTTGTTGATACTAGCAGATTAACTTTGAAGATTAGTTATAGATTGCTCATTCTCAAAACTTTATTCACTATCAAAAATAAAATTGAATGCAGGTTTAACAAAATATAATAGGTTTGATGATGATATGTTAATTTTTGATATAAAAGATCTGGAGCATCGGTGACTAAACTTTAAACTGAGTTAAATCTTTAAGGTATAGGAAACTTATAGATTTTCAAAACCTATTAAATTGCATTTTGATACTTTATTACTAATATTTATATTATATGTAAAGTTAAATATATGATGATAATCTTTTAATATATGTTAAGAAAAATCATTTATTTTAATTGTTTAAAATCTTTACAATATCTACCTAATAAAATATTGCATTGATATATTATGACAAAATAATTAATCATCATTTGCTTAAATTGTTTATAAACATTCAAAAATTGATTTTAATAATATAATTTTTTTTTTCTCTTTATAGCCATTATTATATATTTATTGTTTTGAAATGCATTATTCATATAATAAATGGTAAGAACTACAGGGTGGGTGGAAAGTAACTAGCCATTGAGAAATCATTATAATTTTTGTAATATTAATTAACTCTTAATAAAATTTGTGTATGCATGTATATCAATCATTGGAATTTTATAATTCTTACATCATTGCTTTGGCAGTGACCAAGAGAGTTGCACATGCAGTGGCAAAAAAGATGGCCAACTGCTTGTCTGTTCAGGACAGATTGCTGTGAGGTGTGAAAATTAGTGGTTGCTGTTTACAGTAAAGATCCTCATGCCATAGTCCATCCAGAAACAATCAAGAATTAGTCATTTCAAGCTAATGACCACAAGTTCAGTTGAAAATACACAGAAAAAGTGGCTGTCCATCTACATCATAATCTGAGGAAAATATGTCATTGTTGGATGGCACCAGTGCCTACATCGAATTTTAAGGTATGCATCTGTATTTCCATTTAATAAGGTAAATGTCAGATAATTTTCATTGTTCTTGCCTTAGAAATATAGAAATTATAGCATTTTCTCAATGTTTAGTTACTTTCCACCCACCTTGTACATCTTGGTATTTTTCATAGAGGAAATAAATATACACAACAGCTTTAAATTTGTTTTATGTATTTAAATTACAAAGACAAAATCAAAGTAATTTGTATCCTGAAAATTGACAGTTCTAGGAAGCCTGTGATGCTTTTATGAAAAAACAGATACTGGACATGAACTAGAGAGAAAAAATATATGAGGTAAACATAAAAAACATTAAGTTAACACTTGAATAATGAATGTGCAAAGTATGGTAGTTTCTTTGACTCAAGTCGATTCATTTCACCAAAGTGAAAAGTTTTGTATAGTGTGCTAAATTTCAATAGTAGTTGAGTCAATTGAATTACCTTTGCTGAATGTCTTCAATACATTTAAGCATAGAATCATCTAGTTACTAAATTTGCTTTGGATGAATTTAATTTCATTCTTCTAACAAGATTGTTGTGAAGCTGAAGCAATGTTGTTGGTATTTGCTTATTATCTCTCTGTATTAGATACCTCCACAATTTTTCAATTGGATTAATTCAGGCTGCAATTGCTGTGTAGATAAAACCACCGAACACTGGTAGTTGTAGTGGGTTTGCATCTTGCCGACAGGCTGGCCACATGGAGTTTTTCAGGTTTTCGTCATGTTTGTAACACCTAAACAGGGCCAGTTTCCCATAAAAATCCTCCAGGAAGGCATCCCTCTTGTCACGTTGCCTTAATCAAATAAACCAAATCAAACTAGACTGCACATAGGCCAAGGCAAAAAGTTTAATCTTTTTTTTTTTTCTGTCATGAAACCAAGTTGTGGTTATTTTTGCTATATGTGGCATTATATTGTATTATTGAAAAGTGAATTTCCATCCACCTTTGCCACCAACAATTTCCTTCAGAACAGTTTAGCTGTTCCAATATTTTAATTTAGTCTTTTGTGGAAATGGATTTGATATATAAAGGTAGTTGGAAAAAGTCATGTTAGCTTTCCTGCAAAGAGGATTCTTTGCAGGAAAGCTAATTCTCAAATAAATGGCCTTTATCACAGTAGACCTGCCGATAGCATCCACTTGTGTTGCACTTGAGAAGCAGTCCAGATAAGTCCGTATTACTTTCCTTTCAACCATATCATATGCAGGATTTTTTGACCATAGTATGTTTTACTGACTACTTGTGTATACTTGTAGTTCATGTCAATCTTTGCACTTGCTGACTGCTGTTTGTTGTTTTTTCTTTTCATAGTATCTTGAACATCTAACATATCATTACATCATAGGTGTTGATACACTTTTGTTTAATGTTTTTTGCCAAATGACCAACTCTAGCTGTAACATGCTTATTTTTCCAGATAAGTTTTATGTCTGCAATTCCTGTTATTTAAGGCTCCTTTTTTGCCACAACTTTGATTCTGCCAAAGTATACTTTGCACTGTAGATTATCTCAGCTGCAGTTCTTGGACAATCTCTGCATAACTTTTCCCACAAGTACTTACTGAAGTTTATACTTGTTTATTCCTATTCTTTTCTCTAGTTTTGTTAACTCTTTTGGCATAAACACACATCTTTTCTGCCAACAACAGCCTTCACCAGTTGCTTTCATTTATATAATTCTGAAATTTCTTGTTATGGTACAAAAAATTTGCATTCTTGTCAAACAGACTATTTTGCATATTTGTTATGTAAACTTTATCACTTTTTTGTTAGCTTACATATTTAATTGTCCCAAATACTGCCTAACATCTGTTTCCTCCCGAATTTTAGTAGATACAAATTATTTTGATTTTATCTTTGTAGTTTATAAGTCGATAATTAATTACTTTTTAACATTAAACTAACAAACAACTAAAAAGTAAATAATAAATATTATTTAAATATTTCAGGTTCGAGCAGGCGAATCTTTAATGAAACTTATTTCCGACATCAAGCAATATCTGATACTAAATGATTTTCCATCAGTTAATGAAGTCATCAATCAGAAAAGTAAGTTTTATCAGGCAGTGCAGACGGAATGCGACAAAAAATTAATTGCGTTGAGAGACGACGTTGCAGCCGAACTGTACGAACTCGAAGAAGAATACTATTCATCGGTTTACAAATCCATGATGCCAAGATTAGGCTCTATATGAAATAGCGATTAATAACGTTTGTTTATATGGACGAAAATGATTATTAACATAAACTTTGCTGTATTTATTATTAATGAGAATACTCATTAATTATAACAGTGTATAATAAATGCTTTTAGTTTATTCTAATTTGTATATTATTTACAGAACAGATAGTCTATTTAGTCGAGTTTGTGTAATATTACGCATTAATCTTTTGAACATTAAGAAATATTACGTACAAACATTTAATACCTTTCAAATTATGTTTTCTAATTGAAAATAATTTAAAATTGATTATAAAATATGTTTAATTGCTTGGCAGTTATTATCATCAGAATTTTTTATCGAAGCCATGTTAATTCCCCGATTAATAAAACTTATTATTATTTTATAGTAATCATTTTTGACTGCTTGTTTGTATTAAAATAACTTCATTAATATACTTCCGATTTTAGATCCTATAATTTTTATTTATCGATATTGATTTGTATATTTTTGTTTATTCGATCTGATATGTTTCCTTTGGAAAAATCTGTTTAAGATTGGATACAATAAACAATATTATTGGAATCATAAATTAAGTTACGAGCGATACGACTGCGCGCTGGTACCATACAAATTTAAAGAGCATTTAGAAAAATAATTACAGATTTCCTAGTCAAAAGTGACTAAAATTCATTATCATAGCATAGTTATGAATATCGAGTATATTTAATGTTTGTAATTTTTAGTTTATGATCTTTCGAATATGCCAAAATATTAAATTAATTTATTACATCTCAAAATTTTCATTTTAATTGCTTTTTGTTGTGATGTTAGTATCAAACNATTTCTTTATTGATACTTATTGAGCAATGTAATTATTGTTTTTTTATATACATTTATGTTATGAATTGTAAATCTTATATAATCTATCAGTGTCAAGAAGGTTTTTAATTGTTAATCTTTATTTTAAAATTTAAGATAATAGAAAACATACTTTATGGGGATTAATATATCTTGAATAGAAAGTACAGATATATTCATTCTAGAAATGATTTATTAAGAGAGTAGCTTTTAAAATTTTTATAATATTTAATAAATAATTTATGAAATTATGTTTTAGATTCTTAAATATATATATAATTTTTTAATTACAGATTTTTCTTAATCATGTCACAGCAGAAAGCACTTCCACAAAGTAAAGAGGCCCTGTTAAAATCATACAACAAAAGATTGAAAGATGATATTAAATCATTAGTTGACAACTTTGTAGAGATTGTGAAATCAGCGCGAATTGGTCAAGATGAAGATAGTCAGTTATTTCGTATGACACAAACTGCTCAAGATCAATATGAAATGCATGTTCGAGCAGCAAATATTGTAAGTTTTAATATTAATCAATTTTATTATGTAAGATGTATTATTAATTGAAATCATACATATATGAGATGAAATGTAAAGAAAATCTAATAAACCAAATGAAGTGCTGAATTATCAGGTTATTATATGACTAAGTTAATGACTAGAAACTAATTAATTTGTTTAGAGGTACATTGCTATGCTGCCATCTTGTGTTAATTTCAATTTAGAAATTTCTGGAAAACAGAATTGGACCAAAGTGAGACTTGAACCAGCAACTCCACTTACTTTGTGGATGTGTTGCCAGTTAAGCCACCTTGACCTCTGTCTGATCTTTGCTTTTAGAACTATTAATTTAGATATAACCATACTGGTTACTCACAGCACTGACTGGGGACAACTTCAGTGCCCATGACCTGTACTTCATTCATGACACTTACCCCAACATTGTGTATATAGTAGTTGTAACCAAATAATAGCCTGATAATTTGGCACTTTGTTTTGTTTAAATAATAAATTGGGTTTAGCAATATTGTTGAAAATCTAATACAGTAACTGAATAGCTAATTAATATAGGTATAGAATGTTTTAAAAACAGTTTAATAGTAAATGACTTAAAAAAAAAACTAAATTATTATTGTTAAAAAATAAAAGACACTAAGATTATGATTATTAATATTTTATTTAATATTTCTTGTTTATGCATTTTGCTGTTCTTATTGTCAGCCTGGACAAACCTATATTGGGTATGATTAAAAGGCCTTCTTAGTTCATGTGGTAGAAAGAGTCAGAAATAAAATTTAAAGAATTAGTTTGTTTGTTAAATACTGTATACAATTCATAATTTTATGATATTACATAGAAATTTATTCATATTGTAAATCAATAATAAACTTAATAAATTATAAAAATATAAACAATAAATATATATTGGCAATAATTCAACAAGTCTCCTGTAGCAATATGATCTAGAAACTGTTTCCCTCTGAATTTTCTAGTTTGGAGGGAAACAGTATATCTATGTAGTATCTGTAAAAGAGTAAACTTTTTCATAAATACAGATTTATTTATTTGGAGATACAGTAGAGCCTCGATTATCCGACTCAATTGGGGACTGGGGTTGGTCGGATAATTGAAAAGTCGGATAACCGAAAAGTATGAAAAAATCCATTATTAGTGTAGTATATTATTATATCCCATGTAATTAGTATATTAGTATATCGCTATTAACCTACTTC